GCATCTAGGTTGCTTCCAGGTTCTGGCTATTACAAATAGTGCTGCTATGAACATCATTGAACAGATGCCCTTGTGGTATGAATGTGCACCTTTTGGGTATATGCCTAAGAGTGGAATTTCTGGATCTTGCAGTAGACTGATTCCCATTTTCCTAAGAAACAGCCATACTTCCATTTCCAAAGTGGCTGTACAAGTTAGCACTCCCACCAGCAGTGGAGGTGTGTTCTCCTTTCTCCACATCCTCACCAAACTATTATTGGTGATTTTTTTTTTTTGGCCTTTCCAACAGGAGTTAGATGGTATCTCAGGGTTGTTTTGATTTGCATTTCCCTGATGGCTAAGGATGTTGAACACTTTCTTATGTGCTTTTCAGCCATTTTAGATTCCTCTATTGAGAATTGTCTATTTAGTTCTGTTCCCCACTTTTTAATTGGATTGTTTGGTGTTTTGGAGACTGCCTTCTTAAGTTCTTTGTATATTTTGGAGATCAGCCCTCTGTCAGATGTGGGCTGCAGCTTTGGGCTGCAGTGTTGTCTTACTGACTGTGTACTTAGCTTTTCAGAAGCTTCTCAGTTTCAGGAAGTCCCATTTTTCTATTGTTTGCCTCTGTTTGTACTACTGCTGTAATGTTCAGGAAGCGGTCTTCTGTATCAATTAATTCAAGGGTATTTCCCACTTTGTCTTCTAATAGGTTCAGTGTGGCTGGATTTATGTTGAGGTCTTTGATCCATTTGGACTTAAGTTTCGTGCATGGCGGTAGAAATGGATATATCTGCAGTCTTCTACATACCAGCATCCAGTTTGCCAGCACAATTTGTTGAAGATTCTATGTTTATTCTTCCATCACATAAATTTAGCCTCTTTGTCTAAAATCAATTGTTCGCAGGTGTGTGGGTTAATATCAGGGTTTTCAACTCTATTCCATTGGTCTACCTGTCTGTTTTTGTGCCAATACCAAGCTGTTTTCAGGACTATTGCTCTGTAATAGAGCTTGAAGTCAGGCATGGTGTTGCCTCCAGAAGTTCCTTTATTATATAGGGTTGTTTTGGCTATCCTGGGTCTTATGTTTTTCCATATAAAGTTGAGAATTGTTCTTTCAAGGTCTGAGAAGAATTGTGTTGGGATTTTGGTTGGGATTTCATTGAATCTGAAGATTGCTTTTGGCAAGATTGCCATTTTTACTATGTTGATCCTACCTATCCAAGAACATGGGAGATCCTTCCATTTCTAGTATCTTCTTTAATTTCTTTCTCTAGAGACTTATTGTGTGCACTCAAAGTAGATCTATAGTCCGTAAGGCTAAGATTTCTTTATTCAGATAAACAGCAGCCCAAATGCAAGCCAGAGCATGCCCAGAGGCCGAAAGCTAGTGTGGCCAGAGAGAACAGGCCTCCACGTGATCGTGGCCTCCTAAGAATTCTCCTGATAGATTTCTCCTGTGATGAGTAGGAAGTGACCTCCTTCATCTCTTTTGATTGATTTTAGTTTAAAGTTCAATTTGTTGGATATTAGGATTGCTACCCCTGCATGTTTCTTGGGTCTATTTGATTGGAAAATCTTTTCCCAACCTTTAATTCTTAGGTACCATCTGTCTTTGAATTTGAAGTGTGTTTCTTGTATGCAGCAGAAGGATGGATTCTGTCTTTTTATCCATTCTGCTAACCTGTGTCTTTTTATGTGCTGTGATAAGACCCATTAGTATGGAGGAATATTAATGACCATTGCTTATTCATTCTTGTTTGTTTTGCATTTGGTGGTGGTAGTGAAATTATGTGTGTGTTTCCAGCCCTTTTCTTTATGGCTTTGGTTAAAGTGGTATCATCTATTGTCTATATTTTTTCTGGTTGTAGTTAACTTCCTTGGGTTGCAGTTTTCCTTCCAGAACTTTTTGTAGGTCTGGATTGGTGGATATGTATTGTTTGAATCTGGTTTTGTCATGGAATATCTTGTTTTCTCCATCTATATTGATTGAAAACTTTGCAGGATATAGTAGTCTTGGCTGACGTCCTTGGTCTCATTGTGTAGGAAAAATATCTATCCAGGACCTTCTGGCTTTCAGAGTTTCCATGGAAAGGTCAGGTGTAATTCTGATATGTTTGCCTTTATATGTGACTTGAACTTTTTCCTTTGCTGCTCTTAGTCTTTTCTCTTTATAATGTATGTTTGGGCTTTTGTGTAGTCTATTTGGTATTCTGTAGCCTTCTTGTACTTTCATTGGCATGGCTTTCTTTAGGTTGGGAAAGGTTTCTTCTA